GGAGGAGGTGGGATGCTGCCGCCTGGCGGTGCTGCAGCTGCGGACCCCCACGAGGAGGCTTCATCTTGACGTAAATCTTTTTCTTTCTTCAGCTGATCTGTATCCTTAATTTTAGGTTAGTGGTAACTCCAGAAATTTAGAGGCACAAAATATGGTTGCCCACACCGTATAATCGCATTACCACCTCCCATTACCACCACCTTTCCCCCTCCCCCACCCAAGACTAGGTCTTGCCGTGTTGCCCAGGCCACAAACCCCTGGGCTTAAGCGATTTGCCTGTCTTGGCCTCTCAAAGTGCTGGGATCAGAGGTGTGAGCCAACATGCCCAGCCAACCACCACCAAGTTTTGATTCAGCAGGACTGGGTCATGGAGCTAAGGACCCACAAATTTAGAAAAGTTTTTAAATATCATAACGTTTCTGTAAGGAAACAGTATTTGGTATCAAATTTTTAGACTCTTTTATAATGCTCTGTTTTTTCCACTGAGCACAGTACTAAGTAGTAACTGGAAAATCACAGCAGAGGTCATATTACATTTTTTAATACAGAGTCCTTGGCTGTTCTCTAAGCTAAACCTGATCACCTATATTGAGAAAAAAAAAAAAAGCCCCGGAGTGTGAGGAGACAGGAGATAGTAGCCAAACATCTAAATAGATGGGAGTGAATAAAGCAGATGACACAGATGAGATGTCCAAAGGTCAAGGAGAAAGCCAGATCTTGAAGAGTGGTTTGCAAAGCTATGCTCCAATGGAAACCGTTTCTGAGAAGCCCTGGTTTCTTTCTCTTGCTCTCATATAGAGACAGACATCTTCTGCCCCAGGCTCTTCAGTTCTCTAGGTCTGGGCTTCCCCTTCGGCAATCATTCTTCCAGGTTACAAAGAAAATCAAAGCCCTTTGCATGGCTTGCAAGGGACTGGAGGACCTGGCTGCTTGCTCTTTTACTGCTTTTGAGGACATGGGGCCGTCTGTGATTTTTAAGGAACTCTACGTTAAACATTTTCTAATTTCCATTTTGAGTCTAAAATGTGTGAGAGTAGTGGAGATATTGGGATTTAGTTTAGAAATCCCGGAAACACCACATCCAGATGTCGTGTTTTCTGTTTTACAATTTCATATCCTATGAAGGTTTCAAATGTGATTCTACAGAAATTCATACTCAAAAATTTTATCAGAACACTAAGCATCT